ATGATCCATCCATTCAACTAACTTATCCGACAACACGCGCGCATCAGCACTGGGCATCTTTCCGACTCTTACCCTCTCACACGGACGGCCCTTCTCCCTCCAATCGGTTTTTCTTTAATTTTCTGCCTTTCTTTTTCTTTTTTCCCTTTTTGCTTTTTCTCTTTCCATTTTTCTTATCCAACGTGTATGCTACTCGATGAAACACTCAGTTCCGGACCTGGCGTCATCTGCTATGCTCAGTTCCATCTCCGGCCCCCCTTCCACATTTTCCTCCCCCTCCATCCCCCCCAATGCCTTCCATGCCTTCCATGCCCCCCCATCATCCATTCATCCACCCATCCATTCCTTTCGCGCCCCTCGGATCGTCCTCCCAGACTTGTTTTGGGTTAGTTGGAGCCCGACTCGCACTGCCCGCCCTTTCTTTTTCTTTGTGACGGATGGAAACGAACTGAAGCAACGGCGACTGGATCAATGAACAAATTCCCCTCTTACACCCTCTCCTTTACCGCTGTGTTTATTGTTACTATTATTTCCAAGTTATTCTCTGACCTACAATCCCTCCCAAACTTTCTCTATCAGCTTTCTCCCGCCTGTCCCTTCAGCCTGCTGTCATTACCAAATGACCACTTAGTTCTACCCTGCTTGGGATACTTGCCTGCCTCATTTGGGTCTGGTAAGCCCTGCGCAAACGAGAGTCGGGTTGACTGGACGTGCCGCTGGAAGTCAAACAATCTCGAACCACGAGATCGATTCCGGCTGTGGTGTGAGTATACATACAGGCTCTGCCTCGCTAGTCTTTCGAGTTTTCCTTCTGCATACCCAGCAAATCCTCCCTAGACTACCCCGTGATTGGGAGTTTCAGTGTCACAGCCGAGCTATAATCTGGTTCTGACTCGGGCATCGAAGCGCGACCAGCGTTGTCCGGCTGAAACACAAAAAAAACCGATACCCAAAAGGCACTACTACTATTACTATACGCCCCGTACTCCCACCGCTACCCCCTGCACATACATTCATTCAGAAGGTTTCTTTGCTCTATCCTTTACGACCCTATCCTAGCCGATCATCCTAATATTACTCTACTAGCGTCACCATGGGTTCCTACAGTACATCCTCCTGCCAGCGAGGTCCAAAGTCCGGCGGAAGTTCAAGTTCGACCAACAGTGATGCCTCGGACCGTTCGAAAAGCACGGCCCCTACGATCTACAGCGATCGACCCACTCCTATGACGGGGGTAACGATGGCTTTTGATGGGGAGGAAGACCCCAAGGCCTCGGTTACGACCTACACGTCCACCAATCCCTCCGTGGATGATCTTCCCGAACCGCCGCGCTACCAAGTAACCGACCGTAAATTGGACATCTTCTCCCCGGATGTCATCCCGTCAAATCCGTCCACTTTTGGACAATTGTTCCCCTCGTCACGACGGCTTCTGGTCCGACATGACGATGCGACGCTGGATGGCAACATGAACCTGCGGGTCGACACCATGGTTCCGCAACGTGGAGGGTACCAACAAGACGTCACCTTGTTTCATCTCCGCATGTATGATCTGTTTTCGCGGAAATTCTCATTCCGTCGCTACAGTCGCGATTCGGGACGAGAAGTGTGCCATTCGGAAAGGAGGCCGGTGTCCGGGTCCGACCGGCATGCAGTCTTTCGAAAGTCGTGGAGCAGCGTGTTGGCCAGCTTGCGGCCGGGGTCGAGTGGACATGGATCTGTACCCGTTGCGGAACATAAGCGCCAGGACTCAGGATACAAGTTAGCGGATGACAACGAGGAAGAGTGGGCGGACCAACAGCTAGAGACCAAGACTGGGATGGATCGCCATCAGTCCGTACTCACCGAGAGCACATTGTTGGAGTTTTCCAACTATGCTCATGTAGAGCTGAGACGACGAGGTGCTGGGCAATCGAAGCGATATGAATTTGAGTATTGGTCCACGAGATACCAATGGAGACGGGAGTGCCGGAGGGAGGGCGACCTGCGGGAGTCGTCGTATCATCTGATCAACCTGCGCACCTCCAAGCCAGTCGCCCATATCGTACCCGAAATCCTCGCTCCCATGGAAGCCGTCGAGGAGGAGCGCAAGGGCGGATGGGTTCCTCCGTCCTCCATGTGGATCAGCGATCCGTCCGTGTACGAGAAGATGCCTGACGTTGCCGAGTAAGGATCCCTCCTGGTCCTCTGCCGTGTTTGAGTTTGAGGCTGACTAGTGCACAGTGTGATTGTTGCCACCGGGCTGGTGGCACTAGTAGACGATTGTATTCGTCGGAAATGGCATTCGAAAAAGCATTCGCAACTCATTCATCCCGTGCGATCAACGTTGTCGAAGAGCATCGAGCTCATGGGTCCCAGGCGGTTCCTTGATGAGGTGTTCCATCGACGGGGATCCGCCTGAGCTAATGTCTGGGACGAGTTGGATAGTGATATGACGTGGTGATCCTCCATTCGGATATTCGCGTCGGCTTCTCCCCCTCAATGAATCTAAGGAACTTAATGAAAGAACCCTGGCCATGGCGTCCTCTTTCCTGGCCTCAAGGTCATCATCTTGCATATTGGTGGCCTGACCAGGTGCTTTTGTCAATGAAGACATGGATGCGTTGGGCGGTAATCGGAACCCCAGTCCGGCCTGATGTCTATCTGTCTATCTATCTAGGGTCTAATGAGGTGTAACAGGAACCGGAGGGTCACACATGCATGAATGCATTTTATATTGCTAGTGTCTAGCCTGTATGTAGAAAATCGGTTGGTTCATAGTTCTCAGCCTCGCCTGACTAGGCTGATAGCTATCTTTCGACTAAGACTATTTTGGGGATACACTCAGTAGTGGACTGACGCTTACGCGAGTCACATTTGGATGATGCATGTACCAGGAACCCATGGGAAAAGAAAGAAAGTCAATTTGAGCAAGCTGTCACTCGCTTCTGAGGGGAAGTGGAGAGCATGGAACTATCATGGATGAATTTCTGCCTGACTTGTTTTCTACCCCGGTCTGGACCAAGGTTAGCCGTGCAGGTGAAGGAACTGCGTGGTGGAGTTGCCTGCGTCAAAACTGTTGGCTTCCCGGTGTTCCATTAAGGAAGGGGGAGGAGGGAATGGGGGTGTGGAGAGGAGGAGGATTGCGCCCAAATCTATCCTATCCCTCTGTCCCTGATAACCCTGGTTTGTACTGTACAATGAGGTTGGAAATTTCGGAGAAGCTTCTGAAAGGAAAAAAAAAACCACTCTACTCAGTAGAGTAGCAGCAAGATTGCCTGAGGCCGTTGCGGGGCCAGTCGAGGTTTGTTTCCATGGATTGATTGATTGTTTTGTCGCCGGGCCTCGGAAGCGTACCAGTCTTTGTCTTTGTTTCTCTCCTTCCTTTCCCCCCTCTTCATCTCTTCCTCTCCATTCTTTTCTCTCCATTTAGCGCTGGCTGGCTGGCTGGCTGGCTAGCGAGCTAGCTATCAATCGTCTTACTACTTCGTTTCTCGCCTAGCCTAATGGTTCGTCGCTTTCTTGCTGGCTTATGCAGGTTCTTTTCTCATTGTCATTATGGCATGCTTTCGCACAGGCCGATCTACTTGTCATGTTGCAGATTGAAAGAGACACCTACGTCTCTTTAGCTTCATGGTTCTAATTCTAAAACAGCCGCATGGGCCAGACTTCAAAAAGCAAAAACAAAAATCTTGAATCACAATCAGAAATGACCTGAAAATGCGACAAGGGCCGAATGAAAGCACACGTATGAATGCCCAACTAACGCGCCAGAAAGAAAGCAACGAATCATACTAGCGTTGCTGGTGAAAATTGGTCTGGGTCTAGTAGACCCCGATGCTCTTCCCTCTTCGCTGGCATCTGATGTCTCCTGCAGATACAGACAATAATTTTTCTTCGTTCCCCGGTACTTCGAGCCAGCTGCGGTTGGCTCACACTAATTCTGACTTGACTCTTGATTCTCTCTCGGCTGCAATCCCTGTCACCCGTGAAGGTTTACTTACCGCGCGATAGTCACAGCATGCGAGTAAGCCCTGGTCACCCTAGCGTCTGCAGCTTCCGGCTTTCCCCCCAGGGATGAGCTCATGCAGAGCGGCCCGGTCTGTAACCGTTTGATTCTAGGGCTGAGGGGAAGGCAACGACTGGATGGAATCGGGGCTACGCTTTCGGTCCGAATTGAATGAAATCATTAAATCGTTGATGAGCTGGCAGCAGGCCCCGAGGGCCCGCTTCGAATTAGCTGAGTGGTCCAATGGAGGTTTACCTCGATCCGATATCTGGCTTCCATTCGTCCTTCGACCATCCTATGGGGCTTCCCTCCGCTTTTGGGCAACTAGACCAGGCCGGCCTCCACCAGTGTATTCCTTCCAGAAGGGACGGGGGTCCCTGTCCTGAAGAGCTTCTATGAGGCGAAGTGGCTTGTTCATACCCGATATTCTCCCATGCGCTTGCGGAAGCGGAGGAGAGGAGGATATGCGAGAAGAAAGAGCGAGCAAGCGAGTGAATGCGCAAGCGCAACAGCACCAGCATGCCCCCCCCCTATCAGCAGCGGGAGTAGAGCTGCGAGCCACGACGTCGATAGGGGTTGGTGGTCTTTCTTGCGGACTTGCCGAGTTGGCCAGCAAACTGGCTGCGAACTGACATACTTGCCTTGTACAACATGCCGTCTTTGTCTCTGATTACAATTGCTGGCCAGTCGATGCATCGGGCTTGGGTGGGGGCTAGCGGCCATCCTTCCTGGTCTCTGGCGTTTCTTCAAAGGGCACACTCTCAGTCGTCGTGCGGCGGGCCGTTCCAGCTTGCAGCCTCAGAATGATCCGCAGGTTCTCCATGCTACTTGACGTGCCTTGAGTGGATGGTAATGGAGGGGGGGAACTTGCTGACGCCGTGCCATGTTTACCTGCCCTACATGCATAAGCCCGTCTGTTAGGTTTGATGATTAGGTGCCGTGTTTGACACGCCGAAACTGTCTTGCACAGAAACTCCCCTCTGGGGCTTTTAGGGATGGCCCACAGTTTATATGACTCCCCGCTTCCCATATCCCTCGAGGACTGTCCCGATGGTTTTTAGAAAATAAAAAGAAGTTCGAAACTCACGGCAAGAACCACCTGGAAGGGGCCACCGCAGAAATTTCTTATTGCTTATAATATTCGTTTGGTTTCCCCATTATCACTATCTGGTTGTTGAAGGCCCCACCGTCAATTGAGCTCGTGGGTCGAATCTCCTGGCCGTTTCGTGATTGTCAAGCAGGACAAGACCCTACTTAACCCGATTGATTTAATTATCCTGTCGGTTGCGCTTTGCATTTAGGCCCGACCCAACATCCAGCATCGAACCGGGACGACTGCTGGCTTTTGTTAGGTAGTCCGGAGAGTGAGAGAGAAGAAATTGCTCCGCCTCAACGCAGCCCAGAAACCAAGCCCACTGTGGTTTGTGCCTGTCACTCCGTCCCGCCAGCAAGGGGAAAAAAAACCCGCCGCCAGCCATTGACTGACGAGAATCTTCACAATGTCCGGTGCCCATGCTTTGTATCCGGACACTACGCCATCCCAGGGGAAAACATGGCAAGCGAGACTGGAGGGTATGCCCCACTTTACTGCAATCCCTCAGGAGTTACGTCGATTGCCTTTTGATCCGATCAACTAACCCTGGTCCCTCTGCAACCAGATCACTGCAAAGAGAGCGGTGTCCCTGGCCCGAATTTCGTGATTGTCTCCGATCGTCGAGGTAAGCAGGCTGTCTTCCAGTTCGTCCTGATTGTCTTCGAAGACGTGCGTTTCGGCACAGAGCGAGGACGAGAAAGAGTGGAGTCGATGTTTATGCCTACCAGCCCCTCTTCCCCCTCTTCACCGACTTTTGTCCTTTTGGCCGTTGGAAAGTGGTACCAGTGACTGACAGTTCCGTCCACTTTATTGCAGGAGGTCGCACGGCCTGGTCCAGCTCGGTCACCGTCAAAGGCATGTTATTCAAGGCTCGGTTTTGGTACGATGGCAAGAACCTCGACAATGCCCGGGAAGACGCCGCCGAATTGGCCGTGAACTACTTCCAGGGGGGGAATCAAAATTCCAGGCCGGGAGGCTACCCTCGGGGGCCCGGTCGTTAGAAGAGGGCTTCCTGTCGTGCGTACGGACATACTGGAAATAGGCGTATCTCGGGACGGCTTTTGGTTTCTGTGTTCATTCTCTGTCGCTACGCCCTATACGTTGGTTGTGTACGACGCGTCCCGGACCGAAGCGAATTCCTCGAATCTCGCCAACATGTACAACACGAAATCTCGGCGGACGACCATCTCTTTTGTTCATTTCTATTTTGAGGAAAACGAAATTGTTGGGAGGGGAACAGACCATAGGGGCGGATGGCGGATCCGGACAGCAGCATACTATTTTACTTCTTTTTCTCCTTCTGGTGGGGGGAGAGGATGGGGGTGGGCAGCAGGCTGCGGGAGAGCATTATCCTTTGTCCATGGGGTTGGGGCTGGGTTTGAAAATCGGCCGGTTTGACGATGACGTTGGCTGAATGGCATTGTGAATGGCATTGTTCTCAGGCAACGGACGCATGCATCCGCCCACTTCCTTGGCTTCTTGTGTACTCATCGTTTTTCTGCCTCAATGGCTCGCCTGGACGTGCTATGGAAGACTGTGGCACGATCTCTTTATTGAATTGACGACAGCACAGCTAATTTATGATGAAGATTAATGATTTGGAATTGTCATTCTACTTGCGGCAGGGCTTTGGTGCTTTCTGGGAGGTGTGACAACAACCGGGGGAGTAGTATGGAACATATCCAAACAGAGGGGGGGAGGGCAAGGCTACAACGACCAGGATATGGACAGTATCAGCATAAAGAAAAGTGAGGATTTGGATGATGTAATTTGGATGTTGTTGAGGGGGAAGTCTTCGATTCCAGAGTTCAAATAATCGCCTCCAGCACCGACAAAAACAATCTAACTTTTACCTTCTCCCCTGAACCCAAACCTAACCTTCAATCTGTAAAAAGATAATCCAATTTCACATTGTCCCTGGCTCCTGGTGGTGACATATGCAAATGTGCGTGCGGTGAGCCCAGCCGCACTTACCCGAAAACCTGAAGATAACCACAGAACCTCGGAGAATTTTTTTAAATTTTATTTTAATTCTCACTTACAGACTATAAGTTAGTCAAGTTGAGAGAGTCACTAAACCCAACACACGGACCATTCCTCGTGCCTTGCCTTGTCTGTCGCTCTTCGCTCTCCATAGTGGAAGAACCACCCGAACCCAGTACCATGGTTCACTCCGCACATCATCAGATTTATTCTAACCACGCATCGTTAACCCCCGGCCCCAGCCCTCGTAGGCTGGGAAACTAAGTACTAAGTTAGTTGACTAAGTTACTTACTTACTTAGTGATCCTGGTCGAGATTTGGGACGGACGGTGGGGGGGAGGGGGAGGATTGTAGGTTGGTCCGCGCGTCCACGTGTTCTTTTTGGTGGTGGTGGGAGGGCGTGTTCAGGGGGCTGGCTTTGGGGGGTGTTTTGATTTTGTTCTCTGGGGGGTATGAGTGGTTACTGGGTGGGAGATAGGGGTTTATGTGTAGTGTAGGTGTAGGTTGTGGTTTTGGGGGGGGTTCTTGGTTGGATTATTGGGATGCTATGGTGGGTTGATTTTGAATGTTATGGTGGTTGGGTGGGAAGGGGATGGGATGAGAACGTTTTGAGATCAGGGAAAAGGAGGGGGGTTTCGTCATTCAGGTAGAATTGTGGTGATATTCTTGCTTGGGGGATGGCAGGGATGACATTGAAGCGATGGGATTGTTTATTGTTGTATATCATGAAGGTCCTGGGCGTCCAATTGCTGGACTACATAGTAGGGGGGAGTTTCGGGGATTGGCTGGGTTGATGGGATGATGGTAGTTGTGCTCGGTTTGATTGTCTTCTTGTGGACTGTACAGTAGATTCAGGTCAGTAGAGTATTCTATAGAGCAGAGACAATGGGGAGTCAGTCTTCAACACTAGATGCAGTATAGTTAGTACTTTGTGGTCAGTGACATGCCCTGCAGACAGAGACACCCCCAATCGGGTAATACAGCCCACGTGATCTCGCGGCGCGTCGCGACCGCGTCCCGCCGACCACCATCTCCATAACTATACACTTTTCCTCCTACTAACTCTCCCAAAGCTCAAACCACCACCTCAATCTTCAACAATCGACTGTCAAAAAAACAACAGACCATCAAAATGCCACCCTCCGCCGAATCCGCCCCCACGCCTCAACCCGCCCTCAACCCCCCGTCCAGCACCACCACCACCCCACCCCCTCCCCCTGACCTCAACCCACCGCACGACCCCTCCCACGAAGAACACCAATACCTCAACCTGATCCGCACGATCCTCTCCGAAGGCGAGAACCGGCCCGACCGGACCGGCACAGGCACGCGCTCGATCTTCGCGCCGCCCCAGATGCGCTTCCGCCTGCACAAAGCCACCGCACCCGCCTCCACCACCGCGGGACAAGAACAAGAACAAGAATACACATACACGCCGATCCTGCCCCTCCTAACCACCAAACGAGTCTTCCTGCGGGCCGTCGTGGCCGAACTCCTCTGGTTCATCTCCGGCTGCACCTCCTCCCAGCCCCTGTCGCAAGCGGGCATAAAGATCTGGGACGGCAACGGCAGCCGCGCCTACCTGGACAGCGTGGGGCTCGCCCACCGCGCCGAGGGCGATCTAGGCCCCGTGTACGGCTTCCAATGGCGGCACTTCGGGGCGCCGTACATCGACGCCACCAGCGACTACACGGGCCAGGGCGTCGACCAGCTGGCGGAGGTGGTGCGCAAGCTGCGGGAGACGCCGTTCGACCGCCGGATCATCATGAGCGCGTGGAACCCGGCCGACATCCCTAAGATGGCGCTGCCGCCGTGTCACATGTTCGCGCAGTTCTACGTGAGCTACCCGGGGGGGATCACGGAGGACGGCAAGGGGAAGGGCAAGGGCCATCTGCACTGTTTGTTGTATCAGCGATCGGCAGATATGGGGCTGGGGGTGCCGTTCAACATTGCGAGCTATGCGCTGTTGACGCATATGTTGGCGTTTGCGGTGGATCTTGTGCCCGGCAGTTTGACGCATACGTTGGGCGATGCGCATGTGTATTTGGATCATGTGGAGGCGTTGGAGGAGCAGCTGACCAGGGAGCCGACGGCGTTTCCGGAGGTGAGGATCTCGAGGGGGGATCGGGGGAGTGGGGTTGTGGATGGGTGGAGGGAGGAGGAGTTTGAGGTGCTGGGGTATCGGCCGCATAAGGCGATTAAGATGAAGATGAGTGTTTAGTGCTGTTCTTGGGTTTCGGTGCAGTGCAGCTGTGACTGTATAGATGAGTGCCTTCATATGATAGACATGTATGAAAAGCAGTAAGCATTAAGCAGTGGTATATCGGTCCTTATGTACTCAGCATGTTAGATGCTATGCTAGATGCGATGCGATGCAATGCGATGTCCAACTCCAACACCAACCCAAATATCCAAACCCATCAAGAAAAACCCCCCAAAAACACAACCAAAGCCCCCCCCCCCCCCCAACACCTAAACTAAAGAATCACCCCGGCCCCGCGCAACAAAACCAAGGTATCCCCAGCGACCACCTTCTCGCCCAACGTATCGCCAAACTCCAAAAACACCCCGCCATCCACATGGAACACGCGCAGCCGCTCCTCCTCCCCAGCCACGCGGTTATTAACATTCTCGACCCCGAGCCTCCGCGCCGCATCATCCAGCACCCGCCCGACCTTCCACTTCCCATCGAACCAAAACGCCCCTGAAGCCCCTGCTGCCCCCGCAGCCCCCGCCCCCGCCGCAGCAGACCCCCTAGTAGGCGCCGCCGCCGCCTCAACAGAAAGATACACCCTCCGCTCCGCAGGCACAGCCGCATCCCCCTTAGCCGTGCGCTTGAGCGCGTTGACCGCCATCGCGCGATTGACCGGCTTGCTTTTCTTGGTAGTCGTAGTCGTAGCCGTAGCCGTAGCCCCCGCCTTATTTTGTTTCGTGTCCATGGTCTTGCCTGGTGCTGTAGCCGTGCGACTCTTCCCTGCATTCCCCCCACCGCCACCGAGCGAAGCAAAACTGCCCCGCACCCGCGCGAACATCGACTTCAGCGTGTCTTGCCCCTGCCCAGCACCCCCACCCCCACCCCCCTTCCCACCAGGAACGAAAGGCTGGCAAGCATGCCCCTCCCGCAACCGATGCTTGAGACAATACTCCCTCCGACATTCGGGGCACCGGACGCCCGGTTCGGAGAGGGTGTGGATGAGGGTTTTGCAGGCGAGGTGGCTGCATTGGGCTGTGTTGTGGATGGTTGGTTTGGTTGGGGGGGTTGAGGAGGCGGAGATTGAGGTTGAACCTGAGGATGGGTTTGTGGTGGTGGTGGTGGTGGCGGCGCTGCTGCGCACCCATTCCCCCGCGCGAGGACACTGGTGGGCGGATTCGGTGCGGTGGTCGAGGCAGAACACGCCCCTGCAGGAGGCGCAGCGGAAGGGCAGGAAGTCGAGTTGGTGGCAGTATTCCAGGTCGCAGTGGTGGCCGATGCTGTCGAGGTCGGTTTCGGGGGGTTCTTCGGTGGGGGGATTGTGGACAATGCCACTGCCGCTGCCGCTGCCGGACATTCTTTCTTTCTGTAGTGATGTGTCTTTGGTTGGGATTTTTGCTTTGGGATGGGTGGGTTATGGTATGAGTTAAGGGTGAGTGTAATGAGTGAGTAGTATAAGGGTTGGATTTAAATGAGAGATGTTATGTTTAAAAGAAGGTGGTAAGCTGGCTGAGAAATGCAATATCACGGAGTCAAGTCAAGTGGACGATGATTAATGGTCTTCTGGCGGGTGCTGGAAGATGCACAGGGACAAGTCCCTGACTCAGCGTGGCGGTGCAGCAACAACATTATCTGATGGCGGAGATTAAGACGGAGATAATACTAGCAACAAAAAAAAGCTAAGGTCAAGGGGTATAAGTTATCACACACGTCAAAACACTTTACGCAGTCAGGCAGATTACAGCATATGCCGAGTACAACACTGAAGTCATCCGTCCTCCGCTTGATGTCCTCCCTTTGCCTCCTTCTCCACCCCCGAACTACCCGCCGACGCAAACCGAATCGGCCCCCGCGACATCAACACAGGCAACCCATTCCCCATCGGCTCGGACGCCGGTGGTAGATACAGCCTCGACTGCGGCTGCCCCGGAGTCAGAGGCGGGGACATCAGCACCGCGGATTTGTCGGAATGCGTCCAACTCCCTCCTTGGGCAGAGCCCGTCCCGGAGACCGGCGACGAGACCACCGACAATGGGAACATGACTGAAGCAGGGGCTTGAGTCTCCTGCCCGTTAAGCTGCTGCTGCTGCTGCTGCTGTGGTTTGGTCTCCTTCTCGGTTAGCTGCGGTTTGATCTCGTCTCCGATCAGCTGCGGCTTGTCACCCAGATGTCTATCCGCCTCACCCCCCACAACTCCATCCCGACCAGCCACCTTGACCGCAGACGCGGCAGAGCTCTTCCCTCCCACTCGCTTCGGCGATCGAGGGGGCTTGGTCGTCTTCGAAGTGACTTTGGCCCCATTCGCACGCCTCCGTTCCTCCGCGGCCCGTCGCTCGCGAGCGGCATTCTCTTCCGGGGACGGGACGTTCAATTTGATATGCAACTTGCGCACCCCGGCAGCCAGATTGTCGACATCATCGCTGGTGCTCTTGTTCTCCGTGTTCCTGTTCTCATCCTTGCTCTCCTTGTTCTCCGGACTAGGCTGAAATTCCAGCGGCACTCGAGGCACAGGAGGCGCAGCGTACGCACCCTCACGTTGAGGCGTGCTGGACCGAGAGCCACTAGCCCTGATCGCACCAGTGGCAGCAACCGCCGCAGCCTTGGACAGCTCTCGCGCATTGGAAGAATCGCTGCCGACCGATTCGGCCACCGCACTCTTCCTCCGCGCAGTCCGTACCACAGGTGACGTCTGCTGCCCCCGCTCCGGAGGGGCATCGATGGTCGTCCTGCGCGTGCTGCGCGCTGCCGGCCGTTTCGGCGTTTCAGCCTGGGGGCTGGGCGGCAACGCGGGCTTGGGCTTGCGCACTCGCAGTTTCATCCGGTTGTCCTCCGGCGGTGCAGGGGGTGCACTATTGGCGCTGGGGGTCGCGCTGCGAGCCGCCGCCGTGGCCGCCTTCCGCTCCCGGCGCAAGCGCGATGCCTCTGCGTTCAGCTCCTCCGGCCGACAGCTGGTCGTCTGCCGATACGTCGGGATCAACACTTTAAAAAGCTCGTGGGTGGAGGTCGCCCAGCCGACCGGCGGCAAGGGCGGGCGCGCCTCGGGCTCGACACTGTAATAAGAGCCTATCGACCGGCGATCGCGCGAGGGGTTCACTACCTTGGCGGTAAAGGACTGGGTGGGTTGGAAATAGGTCGGCGCCGCTTTCTCCCGGGGTTTGGCGGGCGCCAACGGCGGGTACACCAGCGCTTCCAGTTCCTCCAGCATCCCCGGCGACCACCACTCGTTGTCGTAACCAGGTTGGGGTGACACCACATCCACCGGCAGGGTGTCAGACAGGCCCAGACGATCGGTCATCTCAGATGCCAAGCGATCGATCTGTTGGTCCTCATCGGTCTCCCTGGTCTCGCTCAGCCCCGCCAGATGGCTGAGCACGCCACTGGTCAGCGCGCGATTGCTGTAGCCGCCCTCCAGGACACTGATGACGCGCCCGTCCGTCCCCAGCCCTTCTTCGTTAGCCAGCCGCACCACATCGGCCGTGAATCTGGCGTAGAACTCGGTCGGAACGTTCACCTGATGCCGCTGCATGCCGGCCCCCTCCCACTCGCTGGCGTCAAACCCCGCCGAGAGGAAAATGGCCGCCTTGGGCGGGGGTCCATTCGCGGCGCTGGTCAGTCGCTGCGTATGTAGTCGTAGGAATGCGCGCGCTTTCTCCAACAAGATGCTATACTTGGTCGTGTACAAGTCCCAGAATTCCTGGTTGGTCTTCCACGGCTCCAGATGAACATTCCAGATCGATTGGCGGTGGGCCTTGTCGATGCACACACTCGCATTGCGCACCTTGTCCGCGTCGCCCGTCTCGCAGGGATACGAGTTGATGTCATGCAGACTGAAGTATCCCACCATGGTTTTCTTGTGCGCTGCCGCGTTCCGGGCGGCGGTGCCGGCTTTCTGGTTCTGGTCCCAGGCGATCTCCTGCGAGCCATCCCCGTGATGCAGATCGAAGTCCAGGATCGCGGCATGAGTCAGACCATGGGCCATTGCCGCATGCGCAATGCCCACGTGAACATTGTTGATCCAACAGAACCCCGATGGGTGGCCCGAGGAGCAGTGGTGACCTGGCGGGCGGATGCAGACAAAAGCTCGCTTGGTCGGGCTCGTCCCAAGGACCGCATCGACCGCCTCCGTCACGCCTCCCAGGGCGCCTTCAAATGCCGCCAGCGACTCCGCGCAGAGGTAGAGGTCCCCTTCATGAAGGGCGGGCGCGTTGTTGGCGGCACTAGCAGCAGCAGCGGCACCGTCCTTACCCGCACTGCGGGGTCGAACCAGCTCCTTGCCGTTCAGGGCCAGTCGCGACTCCGCCGCATTGCACATGCTCCTCAGCTCCTCCATCCACTGCGACCCGTGCACATGGGCGACGGCGGGCGACTGCAACGACAGGGTGCGCGCGGTCCGGCGGATCTGGAAGGGCGGCACGGGCAGCTGGCGCGGATCCAGTTCGGGGTGCGGCGCGTGTCGACCGCCGGCATGCCGGCGCGCCAGGTGCACGTACGCGGCCGCGATGCCCAGCACGGTGGCTTGGATGCGCTCCGGGCGTTCGACGATGGAATTCAGGGCGGCGCGGGAGGTGCGGGGGCGCGCGAAGCGATGGCCGTAGCACGCATCGTGTAGCAGCACCAGGGTGGAGGCCTGGACGTCGGTGGACTGATGCCAATTCATCTCCTTCTGCAGGAAATCGGCTGCGATTGACGCCGCCGTGGGCAAGGAGCGCTCCGGCGCGGTGGCCGCGGGCATGCTGCTGGCTGCGGCGGCGGCGGTCGGCGGAGATGACCCCAAGGGCGAGGAGGAGGAGCGCCGCGACGCGGTGGTCGGACGCGGAGAGGCTGAAGTGCCTCGGTTGGAGTGCAGCGACGCGGTTGATGAGCGCTTCTTCAAGCTCGGGGTGGACTTGCGGCGATCGTCCGCCAGGGAATCAGAGCTGGGGATGCGCCGAGGGGGCGGGTGCGAACGCGCGGGGGGATCGGGGGGCGATAAGCGCGACGATACACGATCGGGAGGAGATGGTGGATGCGGAGTAGCGATGATAGAGGGATCGGTTGGGGGAGTAGTAGTAATATAAGAGGATCCAGGATAAGTAGAACTTGATGTGTTTATCGCTGTTGTTGTGGTGGTGGTGTTGATGTTGGTGTTATCGGACACAGTCGCAGTGAATGACGCAGGCTCCGCATCGCGTTGTGAGGGGTCCATGACGGGCCCATTGGATGAAGTATAACACACAAAGCAAGACAGAAGATGACAATCAGAATAGGTGCCCAATGTCTGACGGGGTTGTGAGACAGAGGAAGTTTATAAGAGCGACAGTAAACGAGCAGGTGAGACAAGAGAAAGGGAGGCGTTGTTGTTGCTGTTGATGATGAAAGGGAGAAAGCGAAACAGGGAGAGGGAGAGGGAGGGGGAGGGAGGAATGAAGGTGGTTTGTTGTGCTGCTGTACCTTTGGGTTTGGTACGTTTGGATCTTCCCCTCAGGGGTTTCAAAGTACATTCCACCCCATCAATCCATAATTTCTTTGCTTCTAATGAGGAAGTTGACAGCTGACTTCTCTCTCGTTCCCTCCCCAAACACGCAATGATCAACGAAAAATTGATTGTATTGTTCTGGTCTCTAAAAGTTTCTTTTCATTGTTTGTTGGTCTTATGCAGCCCAGCCCAGCCCATAGACGATGAGGGGAATCTCTTGATGCAGTGTGTGTTAATCACCAGTCCCTCCCAAATAATATACTCCAGGGTAACATGCATAATTTCACACTTATCACCCAAGCGTTGCTTGGAGATGAAGGGTAAAAAAAAAAAAAGTCAGATAACGCCTTGAACCCTCTTTACCTGGTGTATTCCACCAGGTTCTCAAAACGCCTGTTAACCCCCAACCCATACTCAATAAACCCTGTAACCCAAAACCACGCAGCCGCAGCGCCTTGCCAGCAAAGCAAAGAAGCAAGAAAATATAGAAACAGCCACCAACACCGATACACATAACAAAGGAAAAGCAATTGCAGCAACAAAGTTTCGAAACATAGGAGAAAACAGTAGTAAACGAGAGACATTCTTCTTGAACTCAATATCCCTCTAGATCGTGCGCGATCGGAAGTGGAAATGGTACCACTTGCGCCGGCGGGGCTCCAGCGAGCTCTTCTCGCTGCTGGAGCCGCCGCTGGAGGAGCCGCTGGAGCTGCCGGTGGAGCTCGTGGAGGCGCTCATCATCGACAGGCGCTTGCGCTCCTGCTTGCGCTCGTGCTTGCGGCATTTGCGCTCCGACTTGAAGCCGCGCGTGGCGTGCAGGTGGCAGAAGCATTGCATGTGGACCGTCTTGATGTCGAGGCTGGGGCAGCTGTCGCGGCTGCGCTCGGTGCAGTAGTGTTCGCCGGCGGCCTCCTCGCAGTGGCACCAGGAGTAGATGGTAAAGTATTGTTGGCACATTTTGTTGTGTGATGTGATGTGTGTGGTTGTAGTGGGTGTATATGGAAAGATATAGTTCGGCGGGTGGGAGGAAGTATAGGTAGGGTTCGTCTGCTTAGCCGGAGAAAGCCTGATAGTAGACAAACACCAACCCAGGATTGCTCGCGGAGGATCGACACCAAGGTTAAATATGTCAATCAAAGAAGAAATGGGCCCAATAAAGACACCCAAAGGTTAAAAGCC